GCAGCAAAGCTAACATCAGGATTGTCATCCGTTAAAAGCCTCCCGTTGTCGGATACGACATGAAACTACTCCAATTAGCTCAATCATGTTGTAACTAAGACATCCGCTGGAGAAAATATTTTTTTCACGGGCCACTTTGTGAGTTTAGTGAGTTATTACAGACACGGCTAACGGCTGGTCAATCTGGTTGGTTGTTATCCCATCCGGGGACCGCCAAGTGAATTTGTGTATGGACTTGTGTGGGAAGATGGTACCACCAACTACACAGTTGTTTTCAAGGCAGAAGTCGACAAGACGCTGACCATTGTTATTCCACACACCACAGCCATGCCTCCCTACAGCTCTGTCACAGTTGTCATTTCCGGCTCCAACCTTGGCGTTCATGTCACCCATAACAAGCAGCATATCATGTTGAGGGACCTTGGAGATGGTTCGTTGTAGATCTTTGTACCAGTCATCCTTGTCCTCTACCTCAGCTTCATTTGTTGGAGCATAACTTTGTATGATGGTCAGTTTACAATGTTTAGAACTGAAGCGAGCCCTGATGATTCTGTCACTCACAGGTTCCCATTCTTCCAAGGTTTTTGCCTTCTCTTTGGAGACTACGAGGGCCACACCATGAATGTGTTTGTCCCCATGTCCTGAGTATAGGACAACTGATCTTTTGTTGGTTGATTGGCGGCCAGAACCAGTCCATCTACACTCACTAATTCCCAGAATATCCAGCCTGTACCTTTCCATCTCATTGGTGACCTGGGCTAGTTTGGACGTCTCATATATAGTGCGGACATTCCATGTTCCTGGCGGACATTTGTTTTGGGCCTGAGTAGACTGTGTGTCGCACGCCTGGCTTCCTCTTGAAGGCTTTCACCAGGAGTGGTCATACTGTCAGTGGACTGACTCGAGTCTGCTACATGGCCTGGAGAAATTGAAGCATTTGTCGAAGTTTCTGTAACAATAATAAGTTTTTACGGGGTGGGGTTGTTGGCCCCACGCCCAACCCCCACCTAGGGGAAGTGTTTTGGAGTTGGCTTGTTAGTCCCCTACCCTTGTCTATGGTCTTCCAGGTGATGGATTACAGCCTCATACCACGTGAGGCCAGACAGACTTTGGGTCGTGTACAAGCTGCCCTGTCACGTCAAGCCTAACCAACTCCAGCTACTGTATAGAGAAAGCTGCAAAGCAACCCTACCAGCAGCACGAATATCCTACACCAATGTATTCTGGGTCTAGAGGCCTGGCCCCTTGAGTTTACAACATGTAAAGATGTAGTATGGCCAAGGAGAGAAACTTCTCTGAGCTAGAAATGGAAAAATGCTGACCTTCCAGGTCTAGTACACCCAACTGATTTTATCTGGCAGTCTGAAAAGAGGAATCAAAGGAAGTTGAAAAAGCACAGTGTGGAAAGAAATCAGTGCTGCAGTGGGCAGTCAAACTCCAGCTGAGGTTGAAATATTTTATTTATACATCCACATGTACCAACCTATAGTTTTCATATATGAATGATATAACATATATATTATATAATATTGATACTGGTATTGATATTCATGTAAAAGCTTATTATTGACCCAGACCAAGGAGCACATGGTTACGTGCGTTGGGTCTGCTTCCATTTCAGGCATGACCGGTGGTAGAGGAGACACAGAAGCACCATCTGTGTCCAATCCTCAAAAAATGAAGGCAAAATTTTAGGCAACTAGTGTTTAGATATTGATACTGTTGCAGGTTTATTTATTTGTTTGTGATGATGTTTTAATTATAAGTGATATAAAAATGTTTTGGTTTGTCAGTGGTAAAGAAAAAAGAAAGGTTTCATATAGATTAGAACCGGGCACAGTGGTGTTCAGACTCTATCAGCCTGGAGCTAGTCCTACTGAGCCAGGCAGCTACAGTGCCCTCCAAAAGTATTGGAACAGTGAGTCCAATTCGTTTACTTTTGTTGTAGACTGAAAACATTTGGGTTTGACATCAAAAGATGAATATGAGACAAGAGATCAACATTTCAGCTTTTATTTCCAGGTATTTACATCTGGATCTGATACACAACTTAGAAGATAGCATTATTTGTAATGGAACACAAAATTTTTAGGTGAGCAAAAGTATTGGAACATATAAACTTAAAATAGATTAAAGTGAATGAGACTTAATATTTAGTTGCAAATCCTTTGCTTTCAATAACTGCATCAAGCCTGTGACCCATTGACATCACCAAACTTTTGCATTCTTCTTTTGTGATGCTTTTCCAGGCTTTCACCGCAGCCTCTTTCAGTTGTTGTTTGTTTTGGGGGGTTACTCCCTTCAGTCTCCTCTTCAGCAGGTAAAATGCATGCTCTATTGGGTTTAAGTCTGGAGACTGACTTGGCCAGTCTAAAACCTTCCACTTCTTGCCCCTGATGAACTCCTTTGTTGTTTTGGCAGTGTGTTTTGGGTCGTTATCTTGCTGCATGATGAAGGATCTCCCAATCAGTTTGGTTGCATCTTTCTTTAAATTAGCAGACAAAATGTTTCTGTAGACTTCTGAGTTCATTTTGCTGCTGCCATCATGTGTTACATCATCAATGAAGATGAAAGAGCCCGTCCCAGAAGAAGCCATGCAAGCCCAAGCCATGACATTACCTCCACCGTGTTTCACAGATGAGCTTGTATGTTTGGGATCATGAGCAGATCCTTTCTTTCTCCAAACTTTCGCCTTTCCATCACTTTGGAAAAAGTTAATCTTTGTCTCATCAGTCCATAAAACTTTTTCCCAGAATTTTTGAGGCTCATCTCTGTACCTTTTGGCAAATTCCAGCCTGGCCTTCCTATTCTTCTTGCTAATGAGTGGTTTGCATCTTCTGGTGTAGCCTCTGTACTTTTGTTCATGAAGTCTTCTGCGAACAGTAGATTGTGATACCTTCACTCCTGCCCTCTGGAGGTTGTTGCTGATGTCACTAACAGTTGTTTTAGGGTCTTTCTTTACAGCTCTCACAATGTTTCTGTCATCAACTGCTGATGTTTTCCTTGGTCTACCTGTTCGACGTCTGTTGCTTAGTACACCAGTGGTTTCTTTCTTCTTCAGGACATTCCAAATGGTTGTACTGGCTATGGCCAATGTTTGTGCAATGGCTCTGATTGATTGTCCATCTTCTCTCAGATTCACAATTGCTTCTTTTTCACCCATAGACAGCTCTCTGGTTTTCATGTTGGTTCCACCTCTAAATGCAGTCTGCACAGGCAAAACCTATCGTACCCAATCTGAAACTGAGCTCAGACATTCAGTGCTATTTATTGTTTGAATAATCAATGTAATTGGGAGACACCTGGGCAACAAAACACACCTGTCAGTCACATGTTCCAATACTTTTGCTCTCATGAAAAATGGGTGGGTTCAAACAAAAGGTGCTATCTTCTAAGTTGTGTATCAGATCCAGATGTAAATACCTGGAAATAAAAGCTGAAACGTTGATCTCTTGTCCCATATTCATCTTTTGATGTCAAACCCAAATATTTTCAGTCTACAACAAAAATAAAGGAATTGGCCTCACTGTTCCAATACTTTTGGAGGGCACTGTATGAGCTGTGATAGAGAGCACACATCAATTTTTAATGATTGATATGTGGCTGCAAATACTTAGATGCCAGTCAAAATATGGTCTAATAACACTTCTCTAACTCAGCCAGATTTACTATGCTGCACAGCAAGTCTGCTCTTACTCAGACTTGCATTCACAAGCTGAGACCTGATGTGAGATTTGATAGTGGCCTCAGCTCACATCCACACTGATAAAGGCCGAGCTTTGCATGAAAATGACCGTACACCCAGTTTTCTGTCGTACCTTTGTTTCATAAATGAGGGCCATCGTCAAATGTGGCAAAGAACATTTCAAGAATGTAGGTCAGATAGCTGTACATAAGAAACAAGTTGCACTATGAGGTATTGTTTAGCTGGCATGAAAGTTTAGTGGTTGATTAATTTGATGGGCCCTGATACAGACCCTGTGGTTTGACTCACGACATCCCAAACTTTAGTTAACAATTGTATTGGAGCTTGCCCTTATTTGTATTGAATATCGGTTCTTTAAAAAGAGTAGTAGAACAGTAGTGTACAGTGTGAACACTATAAAACTCCTTAATTTACCATGACATTGAATAACACAGCTTTCGCAAACATATTTTTTTGAGCTCATCTCCTGTTAGCCATTGTAAGATACAAGATAAAGATACCTGCTAACAAAATGGAATGTTTTTACACTTTCAGATCAAACTACTCCACATAAAACGGATCCCAGTTCACCGAGAGTACACACAACAGACATTTCCAAGTTTCATTAGTCAGATGATTTAAATACTGCCAAGTTGTACACATTTTGAAGCTGCATGGCATAGAGGGACTGCTTGTTAGGGCAGTTATCATGGTGGTATGTAATAATAGATACACTTTGTTTAAAGAACAGCTAAACAAAACTGTGCAAAAACAACCAGTGTTGACAAAGCAGCAGCTATCAGCTCAACTCATTAACCACAGCACTGAACTGTTGACCAGTTTTGCCACAAAATCACTCATGATTCATTTGGAGCTTTATATTTAAACTACAAAACTGGATGAAACAAAATTACTGCTTACAACTTAGCTACAGTGTTGTATCATCAGTCTTCCGTGCAGTGTTATTCCAGGAGGTACTTTTGTTATGCATTTATATCTTCAGCCTTACATGTAATTTATAGTTCTGCGTTGAATTGACGTGTTGGTTACAACATACGGCATAGGCGACATGCGTAGGCTACGTGTGTAGGGTCAGCGCACGACCATAAATTTGAATGTGTAAGTTACAGATTGGAAGAGTAGTCAGAAGAATAAGGCTGGCAATATTCTTTACTTTTTCCTCTTGTCAACAATTTCCATGTACAGATCCAACAATGAAGGCATCTATTGTTGTCTTCTTTGTGACATCTCTCAGAAACGACTGACAGAGTAGAAACACTGCTCCTTCTCACTGCTGTCTTCTTTGTGTGTGTAGGGATGAAGTTCCCTGTGGATCTCCTGGCTGATGTTAGCCAGACAGAGCTGGAACACTTAGCCCACAACTGCATGAACAACCTCCTCTACAGCAACCCAGATTCTCCTGAATGCCTAACCCTCTCTGACTCTACCCAGGTAAAACAGCTGTGGTAACTAGGGCCTGACCGGCATGCTGTCTTCATTCTTATCTGTCAGGTCAATTTAAGTAGTGGTGGAATGATATTTAATCAAAAACTGTACTTAAGTACTTTTTTGAGCTACTTTATTTCTAGTATAAAAGTACTAATATGTCTATTTTATGTTGCTTTATACTTCTACTCTACTACATTTTGGAAGCTTTTTCGTGAATTGCATTATATTTGACAACATTAGTTACCAGTTACTGTTAAATTTTTTGATTACAAATATAAAGTATTAATCGATAATGAATGATTAAATTAAATAAATAAGTGATAAAGACATTAATGCATTAGTAATTCTAGTTCAATAGTATCTGCTATTCTTTATGGATCATTCTGCATAATGAGTTCTTTTACTTTTTGTACTTTCAAGTATATATTGATGGAATTTGAATTCAGGACTTTTACTTGTAACCGAGTACTAAGAGCCTTGAGTATTTCCTCCACCACTGCATAAAAGTCAGCATTTAAATCTTTATAGTAGAGTCTTGGTGTCATGGCTTGTTTGTAATGAAGCATGTCAGAATTACTGCCAGGAGTCACAGTGGAAGTTCAACTATGACTCAAAACACTACAAAGATTACATCAGAGAGGACTTTTTGCTTTGAGATTGTATTTGATATATGTATATCATGGAATAAGACACTTTTCTGATGATAAATTAGACTTAGTCATTATCAGTCAATATGCTGTTATGGCTGACATTAAAGAGTAGCACCAAGCCAGTGTTTGTATTTATATGATTTGGAAAACTGGAATGATAAAGCAACTGTTCTGTTGAAGACATGGGCTTGTGAAACCCTGTGTCAATCATTAGATAGGATTATATTTAGAAGAGAAATTCAGCTCCAATAGCCTTTAGAAACTGGACTGCAAAACTGTCTTTGTGTAATTCCTATTGTTAAAACATTTAGTTAGAGGTTAGATATTATCAATAAGGAGTAATTTCATTGTGAATTAAAGATTGGATACAGTGACTTGTATAGGCCACAAGGTGGCAGTAATATTTAGGCCAGATTTAGTAGTTTCACTGAAAGATGTGTAAATAATGAACACGGCTGAGACGTGCTAGCAAAACAGCTCTCAGCTTGTTCAGTAAAAGGTTGAAAGTTCCAATCCTTTTCTGTTAAGACTAAGTCTCCGCATCACACACATATTTTTCAGGACTGCCCAGTAAAGTTTTTGGAGAAGCATAAATAAAACAAATTGACAAATTATGGAGACAGATGTCCTACTAGACCCATTAATATTTTTACTAGGAGTTATACCTAAACATAGTTATAACATGAACCAGAGGTATATGCTGAGGATACTTTTATTGATTGCCAAGAAACTGATAACTGTAAACTTGAAAGCCGTAAAACCCCCAACTGTAACCCCAAGACTCAAAAGGGTTTACACAGCGGAACAAATGACAGCAAGTGTGCAACTGAAAATAGACACTTTTACACAGAGCTGAACTGGAATTACATCATATGTGGGGTCTAATCAAGTAGCAGGGGTTGTTGTAATAGATTGTAATATAATGGATTGTTGTGTTCTTCTGTAACTGAACCTGCTCCTTGTTTAATTACACTTAACAAAAATATAAACACAACACTTTAAATAAAAAAAACGAATATCAAATACCAAATTTTCATAACAAATACCTACCCATAGAAACGAATATTCGAATATCCTAATATTTGGGTACAGCCCTACATTGAAGAGGAGTGGACCAACATTCCACAAGCCACAATCAACAACCTGATCAACTCTATGTGAAGGAGATGTGTTGCACTGCGTGAGGCAAATGGTGGTCACACCAGATACTGACTGGACCCCCCCAATAAAGCAAAACTGCACATTTCAGAGTGGCCTTTTATTGTGGCCAGCCTAAGGCACACCTGTGCAATAATCATGCTGTCTAATCAGCATCTTGATATGCCACACCTGTGAGGTGGGATAGATTATCTCAGCAAAGGAGAAGTGCTCACTAACACAGATTTAGACAGATTTGTGAACAGTATTTGTGAGAAATGGTCTTTTGTGTATATAGAAGATGTTTTAGATCTTTGAGTTCAGCTCATGAAAAATGGGAGCAAAAACAAAAGTTATATATTTTTGTTCAGTGTATATACTTCAGTATACACATAAAAAAGTCTCCATAACATCCTGCAGCCTTTGGGCATAGATTAGAGGCTGTTTTCTTATATAATTGAATTTATACAAATGGAGTGAGGTGTGGTTGATGACTAGAGAAAGCAGTTGCCTACCACCTCCAGGACCACCTTAAACATAACAACCTCTTCGAAAAATTCCAGTCTGGTTTCTGCTCCGCCCATAGCACAGAAACTGCCCTCGTAAGAGTCACTAACGACCTCCTTATATCATCCGATGCTGGCTCCTCCTCCCCCCTCATCCTCCTGGACCTTTCTGCTGCATTCGATACAGTCGACCATGTCATTTTATTAAACCGGCTCCACCTCACCACTGGACTCAATGACACTGCCCTCAGTTGGTTCCAGTCATACCTCACAAACCGGACAGAATACATCTCCCTGGGTAACTCCAAATCAAATCCACACACAGTCACCTGCGGTGTCCCCCAGGGGTCAGTCCTTGGCCCTATCGTCTTCATCCTCTATCTCATCCCCCTTGGTCAAGTCATCAGCTGCCACGGAATTTCATTCCACTGCTATGCCGATGACACACAGCTCTATGTAAATGCCACAGCTGCAACCCCACCCTCATCATCACAGTCATCCCTGTCAAAACTCACCACCTGTCTGGAGGAGATAAAGGTATGGATGGAGTAAAACTTCCTCCAACTCAACAGCTCCAAAACCGAAGCCATCCTGGTTGGCACCCCTCTCCAGACCAAATCATCATCCATAACCAGCATCACCTTTTCTGGCTCCAACATCCCCCTCTCATCAACAGTCACAAATCTTGGTGTAAAAATGGACCCCCAGCTCACCTTTGAATCCCATATCAACCACCTTTGTAAGACCTCCTTCTACCACCTCCGTAACATTGCCAAACTCCGCCCCATTCTCTCCCTCTCAGATGCCGAACAGCTGGTTCATGCCTTTATCTCCTCCAGACTGGATTACTGTAACGCACTTCTTATCGGGATTCCTAGCAAGAGCCTGCAGAGGCTTCAGTACATCCAAAACTCTGCAGCTAGGATCCTGATGAGAGTGCAGAAACATGAGCACATCACCCCCATCCTCTACTCACTCCACTGGCTTTCCGTCTCCACCAGGATTGAGTACAAGATTTCCCTCCTCACACAATACGCTCCCTCCGCTCCACTCACTTAAACCTCCTCCACATACTCAGAACCAGACTCAGGACCATGGGAGATAGGGCCTTCTGTGCTGCTGCCCCACATCTGTGGAATGCCCTCCCTGACACCTTGAGGGTACCACAATCCACTGACTGTTTTAAAAAAGGTCTTAAGACATTTCTTTTTAGCAAAGCTTTTGGTCCCCCTCAGATGTTTTTGTTTTTAAACCTTTTAAATAACTGCTCATCTTGTTTTTATTCCCTTCCATTCCCTTTTTTATTATTATTTGTTATCGTTCTTTGTTTTTAACCTGTAGCACTTTGAGATCTTTTGATGAAAAGGGAATTATAAATAAAATGTATTATTATTATTTATTATTATGTCATTTTGTGTACATCTGTCTGTCTGTCCTCAGGTCACCATAGACATTTCCAGTGTGGGCTTTGTTCCTCTGTATGGATCCAGTGATAAACAGAAGATCCTGGCCCTCTTTTCCCCCAGTGACCCATTCACTGCTGTGGCTCTGTACCTACTGGACCAGTGGTGGGCAGTCGACGATATTCTCAAGACCGCAGACCCTGCTCGACACGGAGCTGTGGAGGTATGAGGAGATGTTTTTCTAGCCAGGAAATCTGCTCTCTCACTATTCATAATTATTCATTAAGATCAGAGGAATATGCAGCACATGATCAATGAATATTCTCCACTGACCAAGGAAAAAAGGTTTCTCACAGTGATCATTCTTGTGTAGCACTATTGCACAGGTAGGAGTTCACAGCGCTGATATCTTCAGGGTGTTGTCAGTCTTGGGCTGACTGCAGAGGCTGTTGTGGACCCAAGGCTGTTTGACCACAGAGTTTGGCACTTATACATTGTAAAGGCTGTAGCCGAATTCTTGGACCGTACTAGGGATGAGTCCGTGTACTAGGGATGTCCCGATCCAGCTTTTTCACTTCCGATCCGATACCGACATTACAGCCTTGAGTTTTGGCAGATACCGATACCAATCCTATCCAAGCGCATATTATACATATTCACTTATTTTGTTGTCAGTCATGTTAGTAAAGGTTTGATCAAGCGATTTTACTCTAACAAGAACAACTACTTAATCGGGTTAGTTAGAATGATCCACAACAGTTGGTATGAGAAACTGACCTGTTTATTGTTAACAGGGTTAAATAAAAAACTTTAAACTTGAACATTAACATTAAATAAAAAATATAGCTGGTTTGTTTTGGCTGCTTTGGCCCCTTAATAAATAGAAAATAAATCAACACAAGAAATCTTTAAAATGTCTAACACTGAAATTAAAATAGCAGCAAGACTCCACACACTTGTGCTTTGGCCCCCTAATAAATAAAAATAGATTAACACCACAAGACATTGTTGACACTTAACAAACAATGCAGCCTTTCCTTTTCAGTTATTTTTGTGGTGTCAGCACCAGCCTGGTGCTGCTGTTTCCTGTGTCTGCATGCTGGCCTGGTGGATTGATAGTAAGTGCTGGAGCGGATCACTGGAATGGAGTGCTTGAATCGCGGCGCGCTGGGCTGGCCGGAAAACCTGGATCGGATTCCATGAAAAACTGGATTGGTGTTCTTGGATCGGCATTTTTCCACGCAGTCCGATCTGATGCAGACGCACGTTTTTTGCTAATATCAACGGCTGATACCGATCTGAATATCGGATCGGGACATCCCTAGTCCGTGGACACTCACAGCTGATAAGGAAAAAGTTTAATGTGGAAAAAAAAAGAAAACATTACCATTATTATCACCTTGAATATAATTTCAGGTAGAGGGAGGGACAGGTGGGAGGGTCTATTGAAAGAACAATAGACTTAAAAAAAGTCTTAATCTTTTCATTAATACTCAAGATGTAAACCAAGATGGCAGCAGCACGTCTCTACCTGTCTCTGTCTGTTCCGTATGTTTGCTTGAATACTCAAGTGTTGTCTGAGTCTGAGTGTTATTAGTTCTCCTAAAATATTCAAAATAATGGCATTCGCCATTTTAAATGGGGATTTGGTTTTAAACTGTTTAAATTGAATATCTGATGGTAGTCAATCAACTGCCGGTGTTTCAGATTTACTCACTACTATGTTAACTGGCGACTTTCAGCCAAATGCGTCTGTGGTTGTCGTGGTAAAGCAGCAGCTGTATAATAGATTTATCTCTAAGATTAATTATCTATTTATGCTGTAGCATTAAGGCGATTAAAAGTGTAAAAATATGACAAACACTAGGCTGTATATGTGGTATGGAAGTCCATTAACTCCTGCAAAGCATTTTAGAGTTACATGCAGTGCACCCTTGGAATCCTTTGGTCTTGCCATGATCAAAGAAAGTCCCTATTTGCTCAGAATATTAACTTGACTTTTGACACTTTCACTTAGTTCCGATGTCATGTTTCCTACCAGCACAATGCTACCTAGTAAACAATAATCTGCTGGAAACTACAAGCACAGCCACATTAATAAAAGGTGAACATTGAATGCAAGTTTAGTTACATGAATGACAGTCAGATGAGTACATCAAATCTACCTGTGAGTCAGCTCAAGGAAATATGACCTTTTGGCCAAAGGAGTTAAGTTGGTTGGTGCCACAAATTTGGTTATGTTGCAGGATCTTACACATTTGTTTCTTCACTGTACATGTTTGGTATACCATATACCATGTGTTTTTTCTGAACCCTCAAATTTATTTATTGTTATTGCTAGGTTTACATAAAAGATATGTGATTTTCAATGTCGACTGGTACGGGAATTTGAAAGAACATTTAGGAAGCTGGCTGACTACAGGAACCACCTGTGTTTCAACCTGAGATGCAGGCAACACAGGTTCATCCCTAACAGCCTAGGCTTGGGTTCCACCGTGAAAGGACACAAGGTTGCAACTATCCTTGAGAGGGCCCAGAACCAGCTACTCAATGAGAGAGTGAGACAGATTCACTTCACCATCGATGCACTTAAATCCAAGATGGAACAGATATTGGAAGAACTGACAGCACTTCTACCCAGGGAAGTCCTGGAAGATGTCTCCAAGTTTGTTGAGAAGGCACAGACTTCGCAACACTCCAAAGGCAAGAAACGACAGACACAAAAATTCCTGACATTTACAGTCCCGTCATAACATCTCTAATAGAACAGACGCACTGACCTGGAGAAACAAGGATCACAACACAGCACATCCGGACATACATGATAAGTGGGTAAAAAACTTATCGGACAGAGAGCCCACTCAACCGGAAAAGGATATCTTGGCCAAATGACTGAACTTTGCCGTAACACCAGAACAGATACAGGTGGTAGATCTTATCACAGCAACAGAGACAGCCATCAGAAACAACAAGCCGGCAGACACAGAGGCAGAACAGCTGAGATCAAAGGTATCAGCCGCAAAAACACCCCCCTCCAACCTAAATAAAGGAAGGCCCTGGCATCACTAAGGAAAGACTGGAACATCACCATCTTGCCGGCAGACAAAGGGAGATGCACTGTGGTGCTGAAGACAGCAGACTACCATGCCAAAATCACAGCTCTGCTCAGTGACACAGCCACATACGAAACACTGAGGTGTGATCCTACCAGTGGCTACAAAAAGAAGGTCATAGATTATCTACAAAAACTGGAAAAGGACAAAATCATTGATAGACCACTGTATTATCGGCTGTACCCTGGCGAGGCCATCCCATGCATCTATGGACTCCCAAAGATACACAAGGAAGGAGCACCACTAAGACCCATCATCAGCAGCATCAACTCAGTCACGTACAACATCTCCAAACACCTAGCTATGATCTTAGCTCCCTTGGTTGATAACACTCCACACCATGTAAGGAACTCTCAGGATTTTACCAACAAGACCAGAGAGATAACACTGGACTCTGACGACACTATGGTATCATATGACGCCACTTCACTTTTCACCTGCATTACCACCAAAGAAGCAGTTGAGACGGTGAGGAAATGTCTGCTACAAGACAGCTCCCTTCCAGACAGGACCAACTTCACCCCAGACCATATTTGTGACCTGCTGGACCTTTGTTTGACCACCACCTACTTCAAGATCAGCGAGGGTTTCTACCGACAAAAGCACAGCTGTGCTATGGGCTCACCGGTGTCCCGTATAGTTGCCAATCTTTACATGGAAGTTGTGGAGAAGAGAGTATTGACCACCTTTACAGGAACTGCTCCTAGCCACTGCTTCAGGTATGTGGACAACACCTGGGTCAAAATCAAAACTAAGGATGTGGAAACCTTTAAGGAACACATTAATGTAGTGGACCCCAACATTAAATTCACACGGGAGGATTTCAGAGGAGACAGTCTACCCTTTTAGACTGTGCAGTGCACATTGAAAAGGGCAGGAACCTAAACATAGAGGTGTACAGAAAACCTACACACACGGACCAATACCTGCTGTTTGACTCGCACCACCCACTGGAGCACAAGTTGGGAGTTATCAGGACACTGAATCATCGGGCTGAAAACGTGCCCACTAGGACAGAGGGGAAAGTGAAGGAACAGAAACACATCAGGGAAGCACTTCAAACCTGTGGCTATCCCAACTGGGCCTTTGCAAAAACCTCTTAAAGACCCAGAGCAGACAGAGAGGAAGAGACACAAAAACGTAACAACATTGTCATTCCTTATGTCGCAGTAGTGTCTGAGAAACTCAGGAGAATTTTCAACAAACACCACATCCCTGTGCACTTTAAACCCAGTAACACACTGAGACAGAAACTTGTCCACCCCAAGGACAAAATCCCCAAACATAAGCAGAGTAATGTAGTGTATGTAGTTCAGTGCAACCAGGAATGCACAGATTTATACATAGGGGAGACAAAACAACCACTCCACAAGCGCATGGTACAACACAGGAGAGCCAGCTCCTCGGGTCAAGACTCGGCTGTCCACTTACATCTACAGGAGAAGGGACACTCCTTTGAGGACAGCAATGTGCACATCTTGGCCAGGGAGGAAAGATGGTTTGAAAGAAGAGTTAAAGAAGTCATCTACGTCAAGCTGGAACGACCATCGTTAAACAGAGGGGGTGGCTTACAACACTACTTATCACCCACCTACAATGCAGTCTTGGGATCCCTCCCCAGATGACTTCACACCCATTCACCTCTTGTCCCACCTGACCCTAACGACTCACATGGTGACCAGGTGGGTCAACGACTCACATTGTGACCTTAACGACTCTGAAACTAAGAGCTCACGTGACCCCTATGACTCTGCAAGGGTTCCCGCCCACACAGGGTTTATAGCCTGCAACTTTGTACCAGTCATTTAGAACTGAAGAAGCTTCTTGGATGAGAGGCGAAACGTCTTCAAGAAACGCAAGCAAGTCCAGTTGCCTACGATATTAGCACTTACGACCTTTATATTACAGTTTTTCTTGATTGCTTTGACCTGCTTAAAGAAACTGGGATCCACTCGGTTTTCATCATCACTGTCTCAGTGAGCACAAGACACCTCTTGCAAATGTGTTAACCCTTTCTCATTGGATTGACACATTTTCCCCACCCTTTTGCAGAACAGTTAACACTGATGTCATTCATGCAGTCCAAACTCCATTGTTTTAGCTATGGTAA